CTTTTACAACCAGAAAAGCCTATATAGTTTATAAAGTTGGATACTCTCTCCCTAATAAACAATAATTTTATTGGGGAGCAAAGACTTTTAGTAAAAGAAAGAAAAGGTCTCTCTTGAACGTCTGAACATTTTACTGTGAGATTTTTTCCAAACGAGAGGGACGACACTCAGCTGCCCGGGGAGGGTTCGCCAACCTCCGAGCCCGGGAGAGGGTTGCAGGGCGCCAGCCTCGCCCAGGGGCTGGCTCTCCAATGCCACCTGTGGCTGTACCGCAGCCCCCACCTGTGACGTACGGCTCTCGTGGGCTGCACCTGCAGGGTGACGTGAGGTGACGTGAGGTGACGTGGCAGGAGGCGGGGAGAAGGAGCAGGGTTCCGGCCACCGGAGGGGCGGGGCGCACCGAGAATGTGAGCAGCCGAGGGGGTGCTTGTCCACAGCCAGGACCTGCCCTGAGCCACTCCTGCGGCGACTTGGGGGGGCTGCCCCCCACCAAAGCCCTCCTCATCTTTTCGAAGTTATAAGGACAGTTTTGTTTCTCTCTCCCCGCTAGTAATTTGGACTTTATATCCACACCTGTGTTCCCTCCTTCATCTTGAGCACTTCAAATATATAGATAAAAAAAATATATAAACAACTACAGAGCCTTAAATAAACAGGCCACATACAGTTTCAAGGAAAGGGAGGAGCTGGGGTCAGGGGTCCTGGGTCGCCTGTCCTGAGGGCCGAAGGAGGGCCAGGGGCTGTGAGGAGGGCCTGGACCGGAGCTGGGGGCCAGAGGGAAGGCCGGGGAAGGCCCGGACCTGCCTGGTGCGTGTGCGGTCATCTCGGGGGACATGTGGGGACTCTGGTACCTGGAGTTGACTTATTCACAGGAATGCTTCTCAGAGACCTGAGCTGGGGTTGCTCCTTGGGGTGGCCCATTCCTGGAGGGGCCAGGGGACGAATGTCCACGGACCTTCTGCCCGCAGAGCAGCACCCTGCGTCTCCCCAGCCTCCTGGGCTCTCTGCGAGGCAGACGCTGGCTCTGGAGAACAATGATGAACTTCGACCTTCACTAGCCGAAGCACTCGACTGTGCATCCTGCGAGGCCGAAGAAAGTGTCCCCGCATCCCGGGACAGGACACAGGTGGGAAGGGGCTTTCCTTTTAGGTCAGAGCACGTGGCGGTGCGGGCCTCGGGCCTCGGGCCTCGGGCAGTGTCAGCAGGCTCTCTCTGACCTGGAGCGGGGGTGCTCGGTGGCTGTGGCACTGCAGTGGGCCTGTGGCCTTGGGGCAGAAGCTACGTGCAGGAGGTGGGCAAGAGGGACAACGGGAGGCACACTCAGACATGCACAGGGACGTGAGCACGAGGACCTTGGCTTGGGATAGCGACGGGGAGGGGGCGGTTCTGGGACAGTACACGGACATGAACCCCAGGCTGGGAGGTGACAGCCAGGCTGAGGGAACAAGGCCAGAGACCTCACTGCTGCCAGCAACTCCTGCGTCTGCCTGGGCACAGCCCTGGACAGTCTGCCTCAAGCCGGGGGTTTTCCTAGATGACTCTCGGACACCCCGGCCTCATGCACGGCCGGCTCGCTCCCGCCGCCCTGGGGGTGTGCATGCCATTCTGGGCTGTGAATGCACCTCGGCCTGTGGGACACTCGGGTGTCCCCAGATTTAAAACCACACTGACAGAAGAAGGCAAGAAGTAATGTTTCCTGAGGAAGTCACTGCACAGCACCAGCTTCACCTGCTGGCTCCATTCGTAGTTACCAGCCAGCGCAGGGTCTCTCCTTACGAGGAAGGACGAAGAGCAGCGAAGCCTGTACCTGGGTGAACTTGCGTCCCCTCCCCAAACTGACCCATCTGCCACTCCTGTTTACCCACTCTGTCATGTTCAGAACCCCACGGAGCTCCCCAGCCTTCAGCCCGGCTCCCCCAGAACTAACGCCGCTCAGTAATTCTGACTGTATCGTCTCCGGGTACCATGTCGACCTTGGTGGTCTCCAGGGGAGGACGGTGCAGGAGGGCGGCCGGGGGCCGGGGTGAGGGTGGCCTTGTCTCCCTTGCTCTCTGCTCGGGGCTCAGGAGTCAGACAAAGGTCCCACCTTAAACAGAACGGTGACCCTGCTAGGGACGTGTGGCAGGGAGGAAGGCCCGAGGGGCCCTCCCTTCTGAGACTTGAGGGATCCATCCCAAGGGCAGTTTTGGAAAGATCTGGGGAAAGGACAGCTTTTGGCCGGTGCTGCCTCTGCCTCTCCTTGGACGCCTATCATACGTGCACCGAGAATCCAAACAGAAGAGATGGAAAGCAAACAGCGAAAGGAAAGAATGTGCTGGCCGGAGGGGCTGCGGCTTGGCGCGCCTGTCCTGTCCCTCTGTCCCCAGCAGGCCACATAGACGGCAGGCCCACAGAGCACCCGCCACGACCCCTCCCACCGGTCAAAGAAAACCCGCCGAACGCCTCCCTTGGGAGAAACGAGGAGAGCCAGGGGAGGTGTCCCTTCTTCTGTCCCCTTCTCCCGACATCTACGTTTCTCGGAGGTGTTCGAAGTGTCTCTTACAACAAAAACATGAAAGAAACAAAAAGGTTCTGTGCCGACAAAGGAATAAGACCAATAATAATCATCCAGTAAAAATAACAGTTTCAGCAGAACCGTAACAAGAGTCTTTTTTTCCTGCTTGTTCATTTTGTTCTCTAACTGTGCAAAACTTAAAAAATAAGTCAAAACACTCTCACTCGAAGGCACGCTCTCTCTCACACACAGCTTCCATTCAGCAAATCTGCGTTAAATATGTTTCTGTCTCTCTCCTCCCCAACCCTGGACATGTGCAAAAATATTCTAGCGGCCAAGCTGCCTCGGCAGCCCGCCTCCCACATGCTTCCCTCCTGGCCCACCACGGCCCCTGGCTTCTTGGAAGAAAACCCTATGATGAGGGGTAGAAATTCCATGCTTCTTCACCTGGCACTTTGTCTGCCAAAACCTTTGGTTATTTTCCCCCCTGGCATGCATCTTGCCCATTCTCTTCCCCCTCCTGGTTAGGTTTCTTGCATTTTGTCCACGTGTGTCCTCCCTGATGCCACGCGATGCCTTGCTCTGGGTCACCACTGCCTGGCCCCGGTCCAGTCCAGGCCTCTCTCGGCCTGTGAGCACCCTGATTTCCTGACGGACAGGCGGCCTCTCGTGGCACCCGCCACACTCCGCATAGACAGCAAATGTCCTGCAGCGGCAGGATGAACTGATGAGCAAGGGTAGCGAAAGGAAAGAAACATTTCAAAATCTCCCTCCATGGGACCAGAAACCTTTCTGAGCTCTCGGCCAACTCCTGGGGCAGACACACACACACACACACACACACACACACACACAGGCATGAATGCACATGCGCTCACACACATGCACACGTATTCATATCCCAAGGGGTAAGCTTTCTTAAAAGTACAAGATGCTCCATAGACTCTGCTGGAAACGATGTGGTTCCGTCCCCTTTCCACGTGGGCGCCTTTGAGTGGATGGCAGGCAATGATGTCCGACGCTGGGGGTGCGAAGGCAAGACATCCCCAACCCCACCTTGTCCCCTGGCTGCCAGGAGAGATTCTCGATTGTGGTGGGAGACTGGACCAGACAGCCCCTTCGAGATTCCAGGTTTCCATGACCCTCCTTAGAGCATCCCCACTGCAGACCACGCTCCCCTGGGACGCACTGAGCACACATCCACCTGGATGGTAGCAGGATGTATCCATAGATGGAAGGACAGATGGAGAGACAGATGCCAGGGCTGAGGTCAGATGTACATTCCTTCTCCCACTTCTCGCCATGTTCTTCAGCTTGACATTTTGGTCCTCCCAGACATGACAAGCCAGGAGTTTGGCTGGCATGTTGGTGTGTCCTTATGAGACTGTGCTTGAGTGCATTTCTTTCCATGATGACTGCTAAGAGACGAGGGAGAAAAATGACTACAGAAACAGCTGAGATGTTGATGAAATAATTCCCCGGGAGGTCTGGACAGTCCAGTGACACAGTGATCTGTATAGCAATGGCATCGAATTCTGCAGGGGACACAGAGGCTCGGCGGTCTGCCTCGGCCTTCTGTAGAGTGATCAGGAAGCATGGTGAAGACGGAGCCATGGAGGCGGCTGGAGGCAGACCTCCCGGGTGCCTGGATGCGCTCTGCATCTTACTCTGACCTTCAGTGAGCGACGACCAAGGGGGATGGAGGTGCCTTCTCCAGACGGAGGACCTGGCCACGGTGCACCTATGACTGCGCGTGTCTTATTTGCACTTGGGGATGAATGGACAACAAGCTCTGCTCCCAGGGTAGATGAGCTGTCCTCCTCTCCCCGTCGTGGCACATTGCTGCTGCTCCGAGCCACGTGAGAAGGTTAGGGTTGTCCCCAGGCTGGAATACAGCTGCTATCCTTTCTCCGCCTGGCTTCCCACAGGCAGGGGGGAGACTTGGCAGGCAGGTCCCTGTGGGCATTTGGAAGAGCTCCAAGAAGACTGGACGGGAACAAGGAGGCTTCTGGATGCCAGCCCACCAACTGAGCCAGCTCACAGAGCACCTCCTGCCCCCAACTCTGGTCATATGCAGGAGGGGTGGTCCTTCTTCTCACAGTGCAGAGGGCTCGTACCACTGGCTGAGCCCTTGAAAACATGGGAAGGGAGAGCCAGGCGATGTCTTCCCAGCAAGATAACACTGAGCTCAGTGCCTCTTCTCTAGGCCAAGGTTCGGGCCAAAGTGGAAGGCGGTAGCAGGTAGAAACGTCCTCTATCCAGACCCCTCATTCACACACGTGCCCTGTTGCTGATGCGCGGGGTCGGCCGGAAATGAGCCCCCTCTGGAATCTGGTTGGGTGCCTCGCTGCGGGACAGGCCATCCTGGGCGAGCTGAGGGTTGGTGGCTGATTCGATTGTGTTGGCCGAGCAACTGCAAGAGAGGGGTCCGGGAGGAGGGAGGCAGAGAGGCAGAGAGGGAGAGAGACAGCGCTGCTCAGGGGATGCTGCTGGCGCAGGTGGGAACTTGCACTTGGTAAAGATGATCATCTAGACTGAGGCACGGCTTGGTGTGTCCCTCCCTCCAGGGGGGCTGGAGGACGGGTCTCAGCTGTCTAAGCTCATGAGGGTTATGACTTGTTCTAGTTTGTAGGCCAGTTTCTGCTTCCCACACTGGTCATCGTGGTCCAGAGGTCCGAGGATCTGGTGAAGGAGCAAGAACGGGAAGGTTACCGGTTTGTATGTATGTGTCTGTGTTCTTAGGGTGCACACAGGCGGCGGATGTGGTCAGAGGTGTGGGAGAACATGCACGAGAAGATGCACACGGAGTTGCTGGGTAAACAGTCAGCCTGAGTCACAGGGGTGGGAGTGGGGGGCCCTCGGGCATGGGGTACAAAGTGTGGGCACCTGTTTGTCAGTGAGCACAGGGTGTCAGCACACGTCAGCATGTCTGAATAATCATGTACATTCGACTGCCACGTAAGACAGCTTACTGTGGGCAGAAGACACCTGTGCAAAGACGTCCCACTCACCTGCAGGTTGGACCTCAGAGAGCCCCACACCGATGTGTCTCGGGGAATGTGACTTTGTGGATACTAAGAGATCACCCCCCCCCCAATAAAGGAAAACCTTAACTCATTTGGCTTCACTGTGTCTATTAAGAAAGAAACACCACTAGAAGCTTAATATATCTTAAGCCTTATTGGTCACTAACACCTAATGGGTGATGTCTGCCAAAGCCCTTCCGGAGCCCCGATGGCAGGCACAGGACAGCGACAGCAAGTGTCGGCTGCACGGGAAGAAGTTTGTGTTTGGATCTGACTCAGACTCGGGAGATGTGGGTTTGAGCGAGGGGTCCGCCACTTTCTCGTTGGGTGATCTGGAATGAAACATGTAACCTCTCAGAACCCTGTTTTGTTACCCACTCACTCGTCTGTGCAACGTGGGAACTACCAGCCCCCTCTGGGCTGCTCAGGCAACAAACGTGAGCGCCCTTCACACGATGCTCCAGGAGGGCGCCCAGCAAATGGGGGGGTCACTGGGGCCGGGGTCTGAGGGGAGCGGCTGGGGTGGGGAGGAGCAAAGGAGGAGGCCGTGGGCTTGAGGGGGGGCTCGCAGAGCTGTGGATTTCCTGCCCAGTCGATGTATTTTTAAGTGGGGAGACCACGACAGAGTTGCCAACGTCTCAGCTGGCCAAGACCCCCAGTTCTACATCGGCACCAGCCGTGGACGCGCACTGTTGAGGAGGAACTAACTGTTCTCTCCGAGACGAGTGTCGTATCACTGACATGATCCACACTGTCCTACCTCTGCGGTGCGGCACAGACAGGGCACACTGCGTCCTGGGCCAGCACTGGCCCGCAGGCGGGCATCAGGCTCCGCCCCACGGTGCCCGTGGCTGGCTCCCCCTCCCCTGGAGGGTCTCAGCGCTATGTGGGACCCCAAGCCCTGCGCCCTGCTGGGTGCCTTCCTGTCTTGGTGACCAGGCTGGCGGGAGGTAGAGCAGCCAGGGCAGAGAGAGGCAGTCATGCTGCTGCTCAGACACGAGAGCCTGGACCTGAGCCCACCGGTCTTCGCTAGCATGACCCAGAGAACTCCCACAAACACCTCTGCACGACCAGAAAGAAGGCGGTGTCTGCAACGGCAGTGACCTCAGGTGAGGTTTCCCAACCAGGGACACGCAAGTAGAAACAGGTCCCATCATACTCTGCTCTGTGTCTGCTCTCTCTGGGCCATACCGTACCATGCATGCACGGGGCCTGCCCACGGGGAGCTGCTTCTTTAAATAAAATTAGATCAATGAGAGAAATGGACAAAACAGAGGGAAGGGGGGAGAAATAGGGAAAAAGAAAGAAGCAGATACTGTGCGTCAGAGAACAGGGCTGGGGAATGTATGGAGCGGACGGTCTCCCGTGTCTGCAGCACCGCCCCAGCAGAGGCAGGGCGTCTGGGGTGGGTGCTCCTGGCCCCGCTGCGGGGCAGGGCTCACCTCCTCGCTGTACTTGCCCACGTAGGAGAAGATCTCCGAGAGCGCGCTCATGGTGTTGAACTCGTTCACGTGCATCCGGGACTGCTCGGCCAGGTACGCGTTCATGTCCTGGTCGCTGATGGCCGGCATCTTCCCGATGTCTGAATAGTACCTGCCAGGCGTGGGGGTGGGAAGGAGGGGTTGGAGCTGTGTCCATGGGGCAGGGGAGAGGAACACCGTGGCCCCTGTGTCTGGGGCCAGCGGTGGCTTGTGGGATCCCCTGGGGACCGCGGTGGGTACTCTCCCGTCTGGGCTGCTGGGTCCGCCCAGGGAGAGCCCTCTGCAGCGCTGATGCAGGAGGCACAGAGGGGAGGGATGTGGGGGGTGGACCAGCCACTGTCCCAGGGTGACAGGGTGGGGCCGGGTAAGGAGGGGAGGTTCTGCACCAGCTTTGCTCCCAGCTAGGTCCTGTCGGTCTCTCATGTCCCTCCTAACACCCTAGATGTCAGAGGTCCCCTCCACAGGCCCTAAAGGCTCTTCCAAGCAGTTGCTCCCCTGGATGTCCTCCCCTCCCTGGGGTTAAGCAGGAGGAGCTGGGGCGGCCGGGGGACAGGCTGGCAGAAGGCAATCAGTCACTGTCACTTGCAGCTGTGCACTGCTGTCAACTGGTTAATTAGATGCCAGCATTTACATTTTTAATTTCTGCAATTTGACATTTTATGCAGCAAACCCCAACTCTCCCGCCAGAGGGGATCTGTGCTGTTTCCTGATGAGGGGCCGAAGGGCCCCATGCCCCCCAGACAGCCACACCTGCCCTCTCCTCTGCACTCTGGATGTGAGCCCCACAAAAGGGACCGAGTGCCTGCCCAGGCAGGGAGGTGCTGGGGCAGGGAGACCCACCCAGGAGTCCCTGCAGGACCTTCGGTGCTGGCAGCAAGCCTGAGCACCTGAGACAGGAGGGCGGGGCTCAGTCACCCGGGCAGGGCTGGGGTGGGCGAGCCAGGCACCTGGGCAGTTTCAGGAGAGACACTCGTGCTCACCTGTGTAGGTGCAGGTGCAGTGACAGGCCTGCGAGTCCCAGAACTCAGTGCTCGATCAGACAACAGTAGGGCATTTCAGAGGCTCCGGTGCAGCCTCACCCTGGACCCCAGCCCTGTATCTCTCCTCCCTCCCTCCCTGCGCTGACCATGCGCCCATCGGCCTGGCCCCACCTCCACCTGCCCAGTGGTGCCCGGGAACTGGGTGAGCTGCTGGCACAGGCGGCATCGTGTGCTCCTGCAGCACCATGCTCAGGGCCTGCTGTGGGTGACAGTCTGATTTCCCACCAGCGCACCCGCGGGCCGGGCGGGGCGGCCACCCTGCTCTGAGCCCCAGCCGCCACGGCCTGGGGGTTTGTCTGGAAAATGAGGGAGGCCGCGGGAGGGGGATGGGATCTGTGCCCTCCCTCCGGAGGGGAGGGCTGGTCGGAGAGAGCCGTCCCTCAGGGCCCGTCACACAGACACTGGCCAACTGCCGTGTTGCACTGATTGCACTTTGGCGGGAGGTCTCGGCCGTGACATGCTGTCCAGACAGGCACAAGGACACGAGCTGAATGAAATGGCCTCAGAGGAGCCGGGGGCTCCGGCGAGGCCGTCCTGCCCAGTCTCATTTGGACTTCCATCCCTCACAACCTCCTTCCAGGGTGGGGTCCTCTGTTCCCGGGTCCCCCCTCAACTTCACAAGCCCTGGGACCCCAGTTCCTTGTCCTGCTTCATTCTGGTTCATCAGCTCCGTCTCAGGACGGCCCGCCCTCCCAGGCCTGCCACCCCCCAGGACATCCTCGGGGTCCCCAGGCTTGTGGGTAACTTGGCATCCCAGGTGTGGGGCTCCAGCTCAGACCCGGGTCCTCGCCGCTACTGGACCACTGTAAGTGCCAACGCGCCATTCGTCGCGGAGACCCAGGGGTTCAGCGGCGGCCCCTCCCGGGGAGATTCGGGTTACTGACCCCTCGTGGTTCTGTGCCCACGGAGCAAAGCGTTTGTCAGGAAAAGGGGCATGTTCTCAGGTCGCACTGGTGAAAGGAGGGACACACGACCTGAACTCGGGGCAGCACGGCCAGGCCAGAGGTCCCTCCAGACGCTCTGTCATCCCTGGACAGTCAGAGCCACTGACCAGGATGAAAACCCGGGTCCCCCTGACAGGGCACGACTGTCACCAGGAGCAAAGACGCCTGCTGTCTGTCACCTGCCTGTGCACCTTTCACAGGTAAGTGGATGGTTGTGTCGGGCTTTGTGCACACAGCCCCGGGCTCCCACAGCTGCCTTTTGGTCCCTGGGGTGTGCGAGCCCAGGTATGGACCCCGTCCCCGGGTAGACAGCAGGCGCCCACACTCTGTCCCTTTGCAGTGGCTTGTAGCACACTCACAGCCCGGTCCGATTGTCCGAAGAGAGTATTGAGAAGGTGTGTCTGTGTGAGGAGGACTGGGGAGGGAGGGGCTATAACCTTGTGGGAGGGGGTGACAGCCCTGCCTGGCCCCGCTTTGCATGTTCGCTCCAACCTGCGGTCAAGTCCTCACTGAGCAGCCTCGTGTCCCCTCTGCTGCCTATGTGTGGAGGGGGCTGGGCCCGGGCATCCGCGAGTGGACCAACCACACGGCCTGAGCCGTGGACAGCATGACACCCTGGATGAGCGTGGGGCACGTGGGCCTTCTGTCCTGTCCTCTCATTCGGCCCTGCCTGGTGCCAAGTGTGCCCATCCTGCCTTGACCTCTCCCTGCTCCCCTCTTGGACAGAACCCCACCCTCTTGACAGCACCCTTGAACCCGAGAGCGAGCCACCCTGGCATCTCTCCGCGGCCGGCACACCTGCTTCCTCAGCCCCTGCCCACGGCCTTTGTGCCAGGCTCCGCCTCCAGGAGCCACACTGATGTGAAGACACTGGGCTCCGCTGACGGACTTCAAACACGTGTCCCGTGAGCTGGCTGTGCGGGGGGACAGGGACGGTCAGCCTGGCCCGGCGCTCGCTCCTATGGGATCTGAGTGCACGTGAGCCCTTCTTCAGAACACAAGGGTGTCCTGACAGGCCCCAGGGTGGCCTGGGCTGGCCGGAGCCCAGCCTCCTGAGGAGGTGCAGACCCAGCCATTGGCCTTGCCCAGCTTCCTCAGTGCATGGGCTCATAGCAGGTGGATGCCCGCACCGGGCGGTTCTGAAACCGGTCCTCGGGGAGCTGCGCTGGGGGAAGGGCCCCAGAGAGCTGGTCTGCAGGCTCCGCATCGGTGGGCTCCCTGGGCTGGCCTGGTGGGTGACGGGGGTGTCTCATCCCTGCCCCTGGGATCAGGAAGGTGGTCTGCAAGTCCTGAACTCTCAGAGAAGACCAGCGTTGTCACCCCTTTGAACACCTCAAAGACAAAGATCAGACGTGAAAAGCACCGGAGGCTGATGCTCTGAGGTCCCCGGATACTTGCCTTTCAAGGCCCTGCACAAACGTGTCTCCCTCTGTGAACCCCACTCCCCAGTGCCCGGCCCGGCTGTGTGTCCTTCACCCTGAGAGCCACAGGGAAGGAGCAAGTCTAATCGGCCCCGAGTGCCCCACGCACCCATGACGGAAACCACGCGTGTCTGACCCTGGGATTAATGAACCAGTTCATGAATGTCCACACTTTGCCTCCAGTGCTGCTCCCAGGGCGGACGGTCACCGCTGTACGTTTTGAACAGCTGGTTTCCTTAGGAGGCATATTTAAATATTTAAAGTGCTTCACCTTTCTCGTGCGGTGACACATGTGATCGATGGCATGCACATGTGTGACACGCCCCAGTCCAACCCCCAGGGAGCCGACTGCGACTCCACGGCTCATTCCTGCACGGAAGGCCCGTGGCTGAGAGGCTGCTGTGGCCGGGGGGGCAGCCTCGAAGCTCCTCCGGTTTAAAACATGGACCTTTACTGCTGTCGGCACTGAGACAGAAACGACCCTGATGGCGACGCGCGTCCATGGTGGCAGCATGTGGAGCTCTGCTCTGCAGGGTGATGGGAGCGGCTGACGCTCTGGACGTGGCCGGGAGCAAAGCCTAGTGCTTGCACGAGGCAGCGAAGACCGGGGTCTGCAGCGGGACCACCGGGCAGCAGCACGGCGAGGTGTTTGGAGGCAGAAACCGGTGGGAGAACGAGACAGAGGGTGGGCGATGCATCCCCCCGGGAGAGACACGCCAGCACAGGGGGCAGAATCGTCGAGGCTGCTCAACCAGCAGCGGCGCGGCCTCCTGCGTCCTACCCCTTTGCAGAGAGGGCCAGCCTGCTTCTCAGCTGCGAGGGGCCGAAGCCTCGCCAGGCGTGTGTGGGCGCCGCGGGTGACCGAGCCTGAGCCCTGTGCGGGCTGTCTGCGCCCTCACCACGGCCCTCACCGCAGCCGGGCGGCGCATGCAGAGGTGGAGAACCAGGGCCGCAGAAGGAGGGCGCTCTGCCATTGATCTTCCACCTGGAGGCTGCCAGCGCCCCTGGAAGGCTGAGGTGGGGACCAGGCTTGCAGTGGGTCCCCTGTGAGTGCTGCTGGGGACTTTCGGAGGCTGGTGCCCTGGGCAGCGAGGGCAGGACTGATCCATCTGCCACCAAGTGAGAAGCACTCTGAGCTGGGTCTCCGGGCCTGTCGCTGTGGCTTCCCCAGCCCTCCACTTGGAACCCTCCTCCCAGAATGACAGGAGAAGGGACTTGGGACCTCAAGCAAGAGAAGAATGACTTTCCTGAGAGTGCCACTGGTTGCTAGGAAACCAGTGGGATGAGGAGTGGAAACCATCAAACCACTCCTAAAATAACCACGTGGGCTGGGGTTACCTGGGACCCGTAGCCGCTGCGTGGCCCAAATCTCATTTAGCGCCAAGTGAAAGGGGGCCCATCGGCCGGTGCGAGTGTTACCCTGACCTCCGCCGACCGGCCGCGTTCCGGGCAGTGTCCTCCATGCAGATGCTTCACAAACACTCCCAGCCCTCCACGTCCCTGCTACCTCCCTCCCCACCGGAGGCCTTACCACGGGCCTTGCATGGGGCAGGGATGACCAAGGACCCTGTACTGCCTCTCTCCCCCTGCAGCAAGCCGGCTGACCACACAGGAGGCCTGCTCCTGGCTGCTGTCAGCAGCGCGAGCACCATCTATGCAGAGGGAGCTAAGAGCCTCTCTTGGCAACTCAGACATAATCAGATCCAAGAACAAAAGAGTCCACTCTCTCTCTGACAGCTGAGGCTGCGTGCCCACCGCAGACACTGGCAGGAAGGGGCAGGGAGGGCATCAGAGAGCAGAGGGGACAGGAAAGAAGTCAGCCCTTTAGGAGAACCGCTGCTGAGGTGGCCAGCACCCACCCCCCACTTATTTCCTCTGAACCAGGGAAGGCAGTGCCCGAGTATGAAGATGTCTCTGCCACAGGCGCAACGGTACTTGTCTGGTCGCCAAGTCAGGAGCGATTTCTGGTCTTTCTTACTCTTCCTACCGGCACCCAGTCTGAGCTCCCACCCAGGTTCCTCTCTCGGAGCTGCCGAGAGAAGGAGAGAGGGACTCTCAAACCAGGACTGAGGTGTCGGTTGTCGGGTGCTTCAGGACGTGCACGTGCCCAGCAAACCGTGCAGCCAGGCGTGGGCACCTCCTCTGGTAGGAAGGGCACCTCCCCGTGCACAAGGGACACGCAGCGGCTGGCAGAGGCCCTGCCTAAAAGAATCATACACAGTAGAGAAGAGATTTGGGAGTCGGCTGAGTTTGGGGCTCACTTCACCTTGGCCACTTACGTCATCCTGGGCTGACTACTTAGCTATTCTGTAGGTATATCTCTTTACCTACACGGGCACAAAATGAGGTTATAAATCCTGACCTCTTATATTCCAGGGCTACTGTCATGAATAAGTAAATGAAGGGTCATCTGGCTCAGATGCTTGGCATAGGAAGCTGGTGCGCCCCAGACAAACCATAAATGCTATTTACCGGGAGGTAGCTTCGCCCCCAGACAGCCCGGCTCTTATAGGTGGACTGAGACAGTGATCAGATCGGGGCCACCACGGCTGAGGACACGCTGCAAGGCCAGCGCATCAAGAGCTCAGGGTGTGTGAGTCAGGGACTGGGAAGCCGTTCAGTGACAATGACACCCCCAGGGCACCAGGAGGGACTGTCAGACGGACAGGGGCAGATGGGAGGAGGCCTCCAGCCTTGTGTGGCAACATGTTATTGGGTCCCTAGAAGTCTTTTTAATTTTCTTTATTATTAATTTTTTTGGTGGGGATTAGAGCAGGGGACTGTATTTCCTTCCTGCCTAGAAGGTATTTCAGCCACTAAGGTCCGGGCCTTCCATGCAGGGAAGCAGAACCCGGGGCAACTTCCAGCCACGCCTCTCAGTTCTTGCTTGGCTGGAAATACAGGGTTGGGGTTGGGGGTGCTGCAATTGCAGGACCGGGCTTTTTTGTTTTGTTATTGATTTTAGAGAGCGAGGAAGGGAGAGATAGAAACATTGATGAGAGAGAACATTGATTGCTGCCTCCTGCACAATGGGGATCGGGCCCACAACCTGGGCATGTGCCCTGACCGGGAATCGAACCAGTGGCCTCTTGGTGCCTGGGTCAATGCTCAACCACTGAGCCACACTGGCCGGGCAGGATCAGACTCTTTGGATGACGCTGTCTGTAAGCCCCGCCCACTGTGGAGGGGAGGAGGACCCCAGCCAGGGGCAGTGCCAGCTGGCGCCCTGGTCCAGCACTCACCTCTCCACCCAGTTCTTGTAGCTGGGGATGTCCTTGGCATAGAGCAGCTTGTTGGAGGGCGAGTCCTTGCCCAGCCGGTGCTCCGACGTGGAGCAGGAGTCCATGAAGGTCTGGGCCACCACGGACAGGCAGGCGTCGGTGATGCTGTTCTTGTGGATGTCGAACACAAACTGGGGGTTCTTGATCATGTTGACCCAGAAGCGCAGGGGCAGGCTGTGTGGAGGGAAGAGGCGGACAGTCAGGGAAGACGGGGTGAGGGGCTGCAGCTCGGTCTGGAGAGTTCTCTGCAGAAAGAGAAGAGGCTGGGGACCCACAGTTTTGTTTTGTTTTGTTTTTTATCTTCACCCGAGGACAGTTTTGCATTTATGTTCAGACAGAGAGGGTGGGAGAGAGGGAGGAAGAGAGAGAGAGAAACATCGATGTGAGAGAGACACATTGGCTGGTTGCCACCCACACGACTCCAACTGGGGCCAGGGACAAACTGCAACTGAGGTACATGCCCTTAGTGGGAACCGAACCTGGGTCTCTCTGGTCTGCGGGCCGACGCTCTAACCACTGAGCGAACCGGCCAGGGCGGAACCCACAGTTCTTAAGGGCCATCTATGCCGCCAATTTGCCTTCCAGGAAACAGGCCCAGCAAGGCTGTAGCCCACCAGAGAAACAACAGAGAGAGATGCCCAGCCGGGACTGCGTGGCTCAGTGTCCCCTCAGAGCACAGATCAGGGGAGCCATGGGGGGTGCTAGGAAGTGGCAGTTTCGACCCTGTTCCACTGTCTGCCCCCTACGCTGATACACGGCACGTCCGGTTGGCAACCCTTACAGAACAGCCTGGAATCTAGGCTTTGCTTCTTATTCTCTGCCATCCACTGTAGGTCCGAGAAGAAGTCCCTCCCTCTCCCCTGCCTGGGGACATGGGCGTGTTCCTACAGTGCGAGGCACTGGACTGGAACCGTCTAGCGGCAGCTCACCGGCTTCTCATCGCCAACCTGACACGCTGAGCAAACCCGCCTCAGGCCCCTCGTCTGCCCCACCCCGTCTCCCAGTTGGCACCTACTATGCCAGGAGCTGTGCTAGCAACAGGGCTGCAGTGTGAATAAGACAGCCTGCCCTCCCGAAGCCTGCGTCCTGGTGGGTTCCTGGGGAAGGCAGACATGCGGTCAGGCATGTGCTCTGAGAACTGCCCGTGCTCGGACCGAAGGAGGTGCGTGTCCATCCCGGGACATGGCGGTATGATCACGTCTACCCGAGGGAAGCACCTGGAACGTCTTCACAGAGGGGATGGCACTTGACGCCTTGAGTTTTACAGTGCACAGGTGTTGCTGAGCTGGATGAGACCTGGGACAAGGTGTGGGGGGAACAAGGTGCTGCTGGGAGGGGGACTCAGCTACACAAAGGCAAAGAGGCCCCGGCTGGTTGGCCTCAGTGGTTAGAGCATCGGCCGCAGATCGAGGGTCTCTGGTTTGATTCCCGGTCAAGGGTATGTACCTGGGTTGCAGGTTCGATCCCCAGCCCCAGTCAAGGTCATGCAAGAGGCAACCAATAGATGTGTCTCTCTCACATGGATGTTTCTCTCTCTCTCTCTTCCTCCTTCTCTTCCTCCCTCCCCTCTCTCCCTTCTTTCCACTCTATCTAAAAAACCATGGAAAAATATCCTCAGGCGAGAATTAAGAAACAAACAAACATTAAAAAACGAAAACAAAGGCAAAGAGGAGAAAACCCGGGCATGGTGGTCTGGTAACTGTCCGGCAGGCTCTGTTACTAGAAAAGGTCCCAGGGCACGGGGACCACCTGCCCACCTGCCTCCGGGCTGTCCTCTGCTGGCTCTGACTCCGCGGCCTCCGTCTGGCCGCTGAGATGCGAGGAGGAAGCACGTTGGCCCTGAGCAAGGGGTCTCGATTTCCCTCCCTCTGCCCTGCCTCCTTGCCTCCTGCCACTCGCTGAGGTTGTATGGCTGTTTCGGCTGCTGTCCTCACCAGGGGTAATGTGTCCCTGTGTTTGGCTTGCCTGTTAGAACGTAACCTCTTTAAATTATATGATTTCGATGCGGCGGGTACATTGTTTCTGTCGGTGCCGTGTCTCCCAGCAGACAGCACGTACCGACAGCACATGCTGCAAACACAGGCGGCCTCACACTCGAGACTGCCCGTCATCAGTAGCATTCAGGTGTGTGGCCAGGGCACGGGCCGGCAGCCCTGGGCTCTGACGGTGTCAGGTGGCACCGGCTTCGTCCTGGGAGATTCAGATAGGAACTAAAGGGACAGCACAGAGAGCCATGACATGGCGTGGAAGTCGGGGTCACAGCCGCTGCCAAGGGGAGCCCTGGATGCGGGCCTCCCGGCTGCCCAGCCAACACACCTCCCTGTCTGCAGAAGTGCCACTCTGGGGGCCCCTGTTTGCTGCACGGCTGCTTCTCCCCGACACTCCCCTCCTCTAGCCTGTTGTGCTGACGGGCAAATCAAACCAGGAGCCAGGGCGCCACACCGAGTCTGCTGCCTAATGAAATATTACCATATTATTAACGTTCGCCGTGGCGCTAATTTCTGGCTGATTGCAGCCACTCAGGCTAAATGAGCAGGAGGTTTATTTAAAAGAGAGAAGGTAGGGAAGGTGGAGGGAGGCGGCGGGGAGAGGGTGAGTTACAACTTTGGCCAGGAATAAAGAAACAATCTCTTTTCAATCAGGGACAAGGAACTCTAAGTCAGTATGCAGATCTCATAATTCCCAGACTGCTTCTCACCCGGGCCAGCAATGATGAGGGTCAGGGGGGTGTCCTTTGGTGAAAGTCCACGCCCCACTTCCCTTCACGGGGACCGGAGTTCTCTGTGAACTGAGTGCTGTGTACGTGGCTCGCCCCCTCCCTGAGGACATTATGACATCGAAGGCGGCCTCACGCCGCAGGAGGTATGGGCCGAAACAGTTTAGCTACTACTCCAGTGGTCCACCCATAACGGGTTAGCAGGGCCGGTGGGGGTGTGTTGAGAACACCAGCTCTCCCCAGCTGGACCGAGATGTCTGGACAGAGCAGCCCTTGTATCCTGAACGCTGCTGGCACTCACACGGGAGTTAGCGGGAAGACTCCCCGGCAGAGAGGAGCACGCTCGGTAGGTGGGGACGCGCCCTCGGAACAGCTCTGCCGCCATGGCTAACACAGCCTCACCTAGAGGCAGGCAGGTCGGTTGGCCGGCTTTGGGCCGGCGGTCCGTGTCCCTGGCTGTGCCCGAGTGCCAGGCCAGACCAGCCGGGCAGGACTTTCAGAGCCGCGAACAGCCTTCAGGTGTAGCCACACTGCCTGAGGAGTCCAGGTGCTGTCTTATTCCAGAGGCTGGGCGCAGCCCATGAGGGAAGCCCCCTCCCCGAGAATCGTGGGACTCAGCCCCGCCCCCAAGTTCTGTGGCCCAGACCTGCTCCCGCTGACTGTCCAGTTCCAGGAGAGACTGCGCTTTCCTCGGGTCAGGAGGGGAGGAGGCTGACTTCTGCCCTCACCTGTGCCTGGTGTGGGGCTCCGGGCGGGATGTCGGGGGGCCTGGCTGTGCCCCAGCGCCATGCCAGCCCTCGCGGTTGGCAGGTGCAGGGCAGCAGGCTTGTGCCGCCTTGGAAGAATATTCTGGGGAAGAACAGCCTGGGACAGGAACCATTTAAAAGCTATGGGAGGCCCTTCTGAGAGCGACGGGATGACGTGTACGTGAGCGCTCTATGCTGGGGCCGCGTGGAACTCTCAGGGAGGGGCCGTCCTGGCCCCCCCGACACACACCTTCATCTATGTTTCCCAGTCCTAGCTCTGTGCACAGTTCCTGCCCAGCGCTGAGCACTGATGCCTGATCTCGCCGTCTCGCCCGGAGCAGGTCCCTCACCAACAGGGGAAGGATGCGCTGTGCTAGTGGGGAGAGACCACAGCAGACACCCCGAGTGCTGATGGGAGTCCTGCTTCTCAAAGGCAGACAGAGTGGCATGGGAAGCTCTCTTGCTCAAAGGGAGTTTGGAATTGAATAGATCAGAGATGCCCTTCAAAACGCCCCTCTGTAATTCAGGTGCTCACAGGCCTTTGTCCACACTGCTGCCTTCCTGGCTCTTACCGGCAGCTCCACCCACCGAGGGTGGCGGCCTGGCCTGGGGTCTCTGTACCCTCCTGCCCACACAACGGCAGGAGGGTCCCGGGCGGGAGGGCGACCTGGCTGCGGCATTTGGCAGGTTCTGGTTTGCTCACTTAGCTGGTGAGATACATGTTGGTAAGTGGTTGCCTGACTGCTAGGCAGAAGGACGCCTTGGCCCGTCAGAGGGAGCACGGAGCAGGAGGGGGGGTGGGCCCAGAGAGAGCCTGCGCGTCTGGAGAAGGTGGCCACGGCCCGCCCTTCTCACCTCGCCGGAGGCCGGCCACCCTGGCCACTCACCAGTTGCTTTTCCAGGTGTGGCGGACGTGCGGGTCGTGGATGCCATGCTTGTCAGCCTGCTCATCCAGGAAGTCGAACATGTACTTGATGGCCAAGGGCAGGGCCGAGCCGCGGTGCGCTGTGCTGAAGATGGTCTCAAAGAGGTCGTCCACGAACTTCTGCAGCGTGCCCTGGGGAGGCGGCACAGGTTCGCACAGCTGGCCGGGGGCTGCTGCGAGGGTTGCAGGATCTGCCGCAGACCGGCCAGGAAGGGCGGCGGAGCTGGGCCAGCTCCGGTGAAATCGGGTGAGCCCGTGTCTCCATCTCCCCACCCCCCTCGTCTGCCTCCCACAGCTTCCCTGGGCACGAGGGACAGAGCTGCCCACCGACGGCTGGGCCTAGGGAGCCTTCCCCTGCCAACGATTCACTTTGGGCTGACACCCTTTGGCTGTGTTATTTTAGCACTTTTCACAAATGCTAATGAACAACTCACTGGGTCAGAGCAGACAGACACAATCTGCCGGATTTGTTTGGGCTTTATGCACCGGCTCACGAAAGCACCCCTTCCGCTCCGCGCTGAGCCGGTGCCTGGACCGGCCCCGAGGGAGCCCCACTTTCCATCACTGGAGATGGTACAGGGCACTCAGAGAGCAGCCTTTTCAGAAGGACGGGGATGGACGGGGACGGACGAGGCTAGTGAGCATCTCCGGGTTTGAGAAAGAGCAGGAAGGACACGCTCCGGACATCTGGCTGGGGTTGGCCAGGACGGCGGGTTGAGAAGGGCTCAGGTTCTGCGCTGCCATGACTGGATAACACAGGGCACTAGCACAAGTGCCAGGTCTTTACAGCTCGGGCATCTCTGGGGTGTGGTCAAGTCCCCTTCCGTACCCATGTGCCCCCCGTCTGAAGTCCATACCTTGGTGGCCAGGAGTCGTGTCAGATAGATTTCAGACACCATCTTGCTCCCTCGGTCACCTTCCTTCTGGTCCCCGTGCTCGTGGTTCTTCACCAGGTGCCACATCTTGACCCCGCTCTCCAGGTCGGGGGTGATCATGGGCGTGCGCGAGCGGAGGCTGTCGGGGCTGCCCGTGTACCGGATCATGTTTTCTGCCAAGGCAATGGCCACGCGTGTGAGCCACTCTGCCTTCCTCCCTCAAGCACACCCGCCCCACCCAAGGCCAGCCACGTCCCATCCTTCCTGCCGGTTCCTGCCGCGGGCACCCTGCTGCGGTTCAGTCCATTCCCCGGAACTGGGGGGCCCTTCCCGCCACCTCCGGGAAACCTGGGCTACCTCACCCACTCCGCTTCCCCTCCCCCTGCACCTGCGTCTCGCCAGCCCTTAATGATTCAATTTGTAAAAATACAAGCTTATCCTCTTTTACACTCTTCCTTGTAAGAAATCTCGAGTCATGTCTCAGGATGTGTTCTTTGTAGCCAATTAAGTATCAGCGTAAGAGCGGGTAGCCTGTCTCCCTTAGCGGCTGTGGGCCCGCCGAGTCACTGTCTTGTCAGCTGTCACCTTCCCCCTTATTTGCTGAAATGCAAGGTCTGGGGAATGAGCGCTGAGCAGCAGAGAAGGTGAAGGTCCTACTGTGTGCGGCGCTGCGCTGTTTTCTTCCGCAGACCTTCCAGAATGATCCCGTGATTCTGGTAGCTTTTCAAACCCCCTTTTGCTGGTAAGAAAACCAGGTCTTGTAGCGGTCAGGCAGCTGGCCCCAAGGCACACAGATGGTGGCAGAGCAGGGTGGCACCTGGGTTTCCAGCCCCCACCCAGTGCCCCCACACACAACAGAACCAGAGACCTGGGGCTGTCCCTTGCCTTAAATGCTTCATAACAGTGCGACCTTTACACATTGTGTAGCCTCTGAGCATCCGAGTTATAATTTGCTAATCTGCATAATTGGGGGAAATAATAATTATTGAATCCACTGGATTGTTTTGAACCTGATGCGCAGTAATGAGCATCACGGAGTGAAAGCATCTTCTTGCATGTGGGATGCTCACCAAGCTTAGAGCTTCTCCCTCTCTAGGGGGTGTGGTTCTGCCCCTGCATGAGGTCCCGCCCGGAACCAGGGGCTCCTCCCCAGCCGGCGCTGCCCTCCTGCGGTCAGCTTGCCTGCCTCCCCCAGGCCCTGCCCTGGGGGTCCGACACCTGCCGTCCAGCCGAACTGCCTTTTGGCTGCTCAGGGCATCCTCTCCTCCCCAGGACGGTCCAATGAACTCACCATATTTACTTGCTGAGGTCCTGGAGACTGTGGAGTTGTTCACTGCGTTGTACGCTGTCACCTGCTTGGACACTAAAGCCACCACGGAGCCGTCCGGAACCTACAGGGAAAAGCTCCTAAGGGCCTGGGTGCAGGAGCTGCGCCCAGGAAATAAGGACAAGCCAGGATTCACGTGGCCCTCACCAGAGAACTAGGGGACCTGGGAGGCTTCACTGCCCTCGGAAGGAAACGAGGCAGATCTGGATACCGAGCAGCGCTCTGGTCATGATTCACTCGGGGGACTCTGGCCAGCGCTTCTCACTAGCACCCTCTCCCCTGACGCTTCCCAGGTGCCCCCGGCTTAAACTCCGGGGGCTGTCGGAGGAAGGGCCGGACACCTGCAACCCTCAGGCTTGCTGGGGGATCCCACACGGGAAAATAGGAGACTCTCCCCTGGCACTCTGCCCCGGCCCCGAGGAAGCGTGCCGTCAGCATCCTCTCTAAAGGGAGGTCAGCGTGCTGGCTGGGGGCCAGCGGTTCCCCCTGGGTCACGAAGGGAACCTGAGGTCCTGCTGAAGAAGCAGAGTTAGGGCTTGACATCTAGCCTCGGGGAGGGGGGTACCCTGTTGTTCGAGGCGAGGTGGAGACTGCAGGGAACCAGCCGCCCTGCCAGCCAGCCCCCACCTTCCAGTCCCCTCACCTGGTAATGGGCCAGGGTGTTCAGCCTCTTCCAGTCGTTCTCAATCTTGGTGGTGATGTCTTCGTCCTGCAGGATCATCCTCGCCCCACTTCCTTGTCGCCACTCTGCGGAAACAGCGGGGGCGCTTCAGAGAGGCTGAGGACCCCTGAGTTCCGGTTCAGGTTTCCATCCCCACAAACTGTGTGACAGGAACAGGGGTAATGCCACCTGTCCTCCCTGCCCACCTGTCCTCTGTGAGTGGCCACATCTGTAGGAAGCAGGTGCTTAGTAAACGCGGCCTGAAGGCACGCGGCAGATGGAAGCATGTAAGAAGGTGCTAAGGACCCTGGCCAGTGGGGCTCAGCTGTCTGGAGTGTCTCCAGCGCACCGGAAGGCTGCGGTTCCGTTCCGGTCAGGGCACATACCTGGTTTGCGGGTTTGCTTCCTGGTTGGGGTGTGTATGGGAGGCAACTGATTGATGTATCTCTCTCACATCAATGTTAATTCTCTCTCTCTCTCTCCCTTATTCTTTCTCTAAAATAAATAAGATAAAGTAAAATAAAAAGCACTAAGCAAAAATGCAAGGTGGCACCATCGTGCTACATTCTCGTTTACTTGACGGCAAAGTCTTGGAGCGAATGAGACCCAGGTCGCAGGTCCAGCACCCTGTTCCTATTCCAGGGGTGCCCTCCCTCGAAAGCAGCCGGTGGGTCACCCTTAGCAGGGAGACGGAGTGGAGAGATCAGCGGAACCTATTCTCATGCCAGAAATAGCCCCATCCCACGAAGCTGATGTCAAGAACAGCATCTTGGGGATCTGTCCAACACCTAATTAGTTGACGCTGTAGGTATATACTTACACCCCCACATTCTCCTCACGGGCCCGACACCTAAACCACATGGGTTGGCTGATGGATCCCACATGGGCCGATAGGAGACTGTTTCTCATCAACCAAATCCCCATCAGTGCACAAATCACGTGGGGATGGAGAAGAGCACGTTCCAGTCTTGAAACGTACGTGCATGGAGACTGGGTGCGTGCCAGACACACCAGCTCTCGCGCATGTGCCCGCACACCCGCACACGCACACACGCTCACACCCACACACCCAAAGGAAAACAGCCTTTTAAAACCGGTGTGACGTGTGCTCCAGCCGGAGCCAGCAGTCTGGCTTCCAGGCAGCCGCAGCTGCCCTCCACGCCTCCCAGACGCTGACCCTGGAACGGCGCAGAGCCCTGGGTTTGCAGAGTGTTAGGGGCTGGAACGAGCTACCCACAGTCCGTGCCTGACCCGCCATGGACTGTTCCTGTAGCCCACAGAGACACATTTCAGATTCCCTCCCTCCGTTCCCTTCTGGTCAAGGCTGAGCTGTGGGTCCCAGACCAGAGAGCACCCGTTCCTTCCTGCCTGGTGCACCTGGCACGGCCAGTGCAAGAGGGACAAACAGGCCCTGAGAAGCAGCAGAGATGCTCCAGCGCCCAAGCCCCAGCCTCCACTCCTGGGCTCACCTGCGGCCTGGTTCAGAGTCAGTCTCCAGCCGTCCTGGGAACGGAACATAAGGAGGCCACGCGTGCTCCCTGGAGCGGGGGAGCCCTGACCGGCCACTGCGGACCCATCACTTCATGCTGTGGAGGACACAGCTGGAACTGACTGGTGATTAGGGCCCCGGGGCAGCTGGGGCAGTGAGCAAAAGGAGAAACGGAGGCACCAGGTCCCTAGTGTTTTGTGTGTTGTGGGTTTTAACGTTCTATGTAGCTATGTATGGACGCGTGTACGTCTGAGCGGCTGGCACAAAAGAAGAGGAGGCTCCCGGCTGGTCGGGCAGCTGATAGGTGGTTCACTCAGACTCTGCCTGGTGCACCTGGTGAAGCCCAGCCCGGCTGAGGACTATGGCAGAGGTGTGCTTTCTCCCAGCCACACAGTGGGGCCTAACACGCAAAGCCTCTTGGGTCTCCCTTGCTTGTCTGGTGAGTGGTGCCAGGGCCATTATGGCAGAGGCTGCAAGGGGGTACAGACAGAGTGGGGCACAGAAGACAGTGTTCTGCATTCCCCACGTGGGGTCTGCAGGAGAAACCGGGGATGAGCTCTGGACACTAAGCCCACGGCTGGGCCCGGGGGAGAAGGAGTCTCCTCCTCACTGAACGGCTGTGGGCTCTGCCGAGACTGGACGGGGAAGGAACCAGCCAGGGCCCAGCTTGCTGGTTTAGAGCCCTTGCCGATGGAGTCGTGCATCTCAGTGGGTCTGAACAAGCTGCGGCCTGTGTGTCTGTTCCCAGCAGCCTGGCTCTGAGTCGTGTCCAGTAATTATGTCAGCAAATGAAAGTCAGTCTGCCTCCTTGTCCCCAACTGAAGAAAGTAGGGCAGAGTATGGCCACGTGCACCCCGAGCAGCTAGGGAATGATGGATTGTCCTTGGAACACAGAACGATGCTGCTAGAAGCCAACAGCAGGGCTGGCCCAGCCCCTGGAGCGCAGCAAGTGCTGGGTGAGTATTTCTTAAAGGAACGATGACTACGTGGATGAGCGAGAGAACGAATGAGTGAATGAGTGAAGGAAAGATCACGTGAGTGTGTGATGGTGGCCCCTTCCCCAAGGGGAAGAGGCTGCTGGCCTGCGGGGGCTCCACGGTGAGCAGACAGCGCGCTGAGCTAGAGGTGAACGTGAGCTGCTCCGTGGGCAGCCTGGGACACAGGCTGAGCTCAAGTCCTCAGAAACACAACCAGGCATGTCTATTGCCAGAATAAAAGCTCTCTTAAATTACTGCTCCTCGTTCTTCTAATTCGACAACTGGGAAATTAAAGGCACAGGTTGGGAAGACAGATCTGGAGTCTCACCCCAGCCACCGCTCATTCTGCAGCTGAGCTCTCTCCCGAGGACACCAGCTGCGCCTCCTCTGGCCAGGGCACTGGGCTAGGTCATCGGGATATAAAGACGAACAGCCAAAGGCCCCGAACTCCGGCAGCCGTGGGCACAGCTCAGGGCACTGCAGCGTGACCCATATCTGTGCATCAGCCAGGCGTCGGGCGGGGGGGGAGTGACCACCAGGCTGATCCCTGAGCTGCGCTGTGCGGTGATGCTCACAGGTAGTTGTGTCCACTCAGCTCCATACTTGGAGATCTAGGAACCCAAGGGCGCCTCAGGCAGGGTAGCCTGGGCCATAGCACTTCCCTTTCCACAAAGATAAGCTGTGCTGATGGGTGGACCCACTGGATGTGGCCTGGGGGCAGTGATGATATGCCGTGGGCAGCAGGATGGTCAAGGGCAGGCCGGGAGCATGCTCTTCACTGATGCCAATGCTTGGTCACAGGTGCGGGGATTGCAAGGGGAGGGGTCCTGGCATCCCAGTGTCCCAGTCCTACAGTCCCTCCAGCCCCAGATGGTGGTCGTCTACCACCATCTGTCCCCAGACCCATCCCAGGGAGCTTGAGCAGGAGCTGACCCAGGAGGGCAAGGCAGGAAGGAGATGCCCGCAGGCTGGTTACAACTGGCTGAGTCAACTCCAAGCTCCAGGAAGGATGGACTTCACAGCTAGATGCCTGCACTCCACCCCCCGGGCACCTTTCCTCACCTCAGGCCATCGAGAGCAGGCTGTCACCAGGAGCGCACACCAGCCCTGCACGGAGCCCCTCTGCCTCCCAAAGCAGAGTCCTGAATGCAAATGTGGAGAAGACAGGACTCTACTGCCGCACACCTGTCGGCAGGTGAGTCTGAGGGGGCACCTGGCAGAGGGCCCTGAGACCCTCAATGCCCGGCCACTATGCATCACAGAAGGGCCAGAGGGGCGTGACAGGGTCAGAGTCACTGCAAAGGTCTGAAAAACTGACCTGGGAGGAGGGTGTCTTGTCTAAATATGTTTTGTTAAGAAAAAATGTATTATACAAGCAAGTTCTAGAACATAAAGTAACTGAACTATGAAATGTGGTGCTTAAAGGAAGAAATTCCTAAATAGAACGGCGCTGTCAGCATTTTAGGCTCCAGGTCTGCACACTGCAAACCGTCCTGCACGGGCTAGTTGCTGCTACGCGGGGAGGCTGAGCTGAAGGGAAAAGGAGGCTGCGCTATGCCACTCGATTCCAGACAGATGAGCTGGCGCTTGATGGATACACTCGAACATGGAACACAGAGGCCCTTCACTTGGGCAGTGTGCTGGGTCAAAGAAGAGTTAAAAAGGCAGGTGGTGGGCGGAGGAAGGCGGTAAGGTGACCCTGCGATTCATATGCATGGCACCGGGAGAAAATTGCTAGCTCTGACCTCCCCAGCAGCTCCTGCCCTGCAGCCAGAGCCCTGCTCCAGGCTCCAGCACAAAGGACAGACACACGCACAATCCAATTTGTTACACTTCTACCTTCCAGGGAGAGAAGGAGGTGAAAGAAGAAAGAAAAAAATCCCATTATCTTTATCTGTCCTTCCCATCAGGTGCAGCGGAAAATGCAAACTGGGGAGACAGCTGCTGTGAACTCTTTATATTTCACTCAGAAGATAGTGTATCTTTTTATTGCATACAGGAATTACTTATTTGAAAAAATATATCCTTTCAGCACGACTTGAATGGCAAGACAGAGGGGGTGGCGGAGTTCCGGGGGCTATTGATAGAGCATTTGCATTCAACCAGAGGAATCTCTGGAGGTCAAGGCCCGCTGCGGAGACCCTGTGGGCGGAAATGGGTGTTCTCCCCACCTCCCTGCTGTGTGACCGGGCCCAGGCACTGTGCCTGTCTGAGCTGCAGATTCTCCTCTTGGGCAGTGCAACAGAATGGTCCCAATGCTCTCCTCTGAAGGTGTAGAGAGGACAGAAGAAGATTCCCACGGCTCAGCAGAAGGGCTGTCCTGCCTTCTGCTACATTGGCACCCACTCCCACGCCTGGCACAGAGCGTGCCCAAGGTAGCCCCTATGGATGCTGGTTGAAGAGTTTAGTTACACAAGGGGGTACCTGTACCCAATACCTGTGGGTGGACAGGGACATACACCTGGTGAGAACAGCCTCATGTATAGCAGAGGGGGTGCCCTCAGCACTGTGCTCTGAGGGCTCCCAGAGACCCCTCTGCCGGCACGGTCCCCACCCCCCGCCCTGTGATATCCTTCCTTCCCTAGATTCCTGCAGACGGACATGAAGGCGGCCCCCGCGCCCTTCACTTTGGCTCCTGTGATGGTTCATTTTACGTGTCATCGTGGCAGGGCCGTGGCACCCAGATATGTGGTCAAACACTATTCTGGATGTTTCCGTACGGGGGTTTTCAGATGAGATTAACATAAATTGTTCTCCATAATGTGAGTAGACTTCATTCAATTAGGCAGAGGCCTTAAAAGAACAAGAGACTGACCTGCCCCGGAGCACGAGGAGTTGGGCCAGCAGAAGCCCTCGGGACTCGAACCGCAGTGCTGGGTCCTCCTGGGGCTCCAGCCGACCGGCCTACCTTGCGGGTTTGGGACTTGCCAGCCTCCATGCTATACACCGGATGTGTGTGCCCCCAAATTCCACACCCCCAGCGCGATGCTGTTAGAAGGTGGGGCCTTTGGGAGGTGACTAGGCCCTGAGGGTGATGCCCTCGTGAACGGGGTCAGTGGCCTTGTAAAAGGGGCCTCAGAGGACCCCTTGCTCTTTCAGCCCTGTGAGGACACAGGAGGAAGTGATCCTCATCGGACACCAAATCTGCCCGCTGTTGCTCGTATTTCACCGGCCCTGCGGCACGTCCTGGCTGCCGAGCGGACGGGGACGCCCTGCCCGTCTCTCTCCACGTGGACACGTGGATATGCACACCCTGTCTCTCCACACCTGCTTCCCTGGAGAACCCTGACTGACCCAGTTCCCCATCCTGGTTCCGTCATGCCGGGAAAAGCCTGGCGAATGGGTGGAGGGACCTTCGGTCTCAGGATCGAAATGAAAGTGTACGAACTGGGGGCTCGGCCAGCCCGGGAGCCACGGTGGCGATGCAGGCGGGGGGCGTGCGGGACTGGTCAGCTTGGGACAGTTACAGGCATAGTTTAAAGTGTCTGCTTCTTCTGAGCTGGCCCGGGACAGGCGCCCTGCCCTGCCAGGGGCTGGTATCAGGAGGGGAAGGCCGTCATTGCCCAGTGCCCTCAGCCATGGGGGGAAGAGGTCTGGGGAGAATGAAGACGGGAGGCTTGAGCCCAACCCTCCGGCTGAGCGAGCCCTCGCGCTGCTGTGCACACCTGTCCCTCTGGCACAGGTTAATTTTCTGTAACAATCACACCTTACATTTGTAAATTGCTTTTAGCCTTTCAAAGCACTTTCACCCACAGGACGAACAACTCGCCTTGCTCCCCTCTCCCTTGGGGGTCTCGGGGCTGAGTCTAACTGCAACCTGGCTTTGGTAGAAGAAGGCCAGAGAGCGCGGGGGGTGGGGGTGGGGGTGGGGGTGGGGGGTCTAAATGTGGATTTAATAGCAAAAAAGGACGTTCCTCAGAGAAGCACCATCCTCGGCATGACCCTGAAGCTCCTTCCCCTGGGGCAGGGGCCCTGAGGCCCTTCTTTGGCTTCTCCCTTTCATCTGTCCCTGCTGTGGCGGTCTTGTCCCCCTGGGGTGGCCACTGGGTCTTCCCCAGAAGCACCTGTGATAGGAGAGGGGCCCCTTTGCTCTCCTGGTACCTGGAGTGAGCACTGCGTCAGTGGAGACCCAGCCCCCTGAAGCAGGCTCCTGTCCCTGGCCTGAGCAGCCCGACATCGCCGGAGAGAGTAACCCTGGCAGGTCCTGGTTGCTGCACACACGGCTGGCCCGCGGGGGACCGGCAGCAAGGCCGGGCTGAGCACGCGGGGGACGGGCAGCAAGGCCGGCACGCGGGGGACGGGCAGCAAGGCCGGCACGCAGGGGACCGGCAGCAAGGCTGGGCTGAGCACGCGGGGGACCGGCAGCAAGGCCTGCCCGCAGGGGACCAACCGGCAGCAAGGCCTGCCCGCAGGGGACCGGCATGCAGGGGACCGACTGGCAGCAAGGCCGGGCTGAGCTGGGCTGCGCCTCCGCTCCAGATGGTTCAGCACTGAGGCTGTGGGAGGCCTGACATCTTTCCACCAACTATCTGCTCCGCTGGGCCTGCGCCCCCAGGCACTTTCAGGGAGCAATTTTCTAAGGCTAATAAGGTGGTCCTGAGCAGCGCCTACCAACCATGAGGTAGTCTCTCTCCAGAAGCCACCCCGACGCAAAGGGTTGGCCCTGGGACCTGCTTCCAGAGGGAGCCCCCTTGCTTGGGCTTGAGCTGAGGAAGGAGGTCGGGTGTTGCAGCCACCCCCACGCCCTGCTCTGGTAAGGGGGGAAAGGCTGTCCCTTTGCTTCCGGTGGACCCCCGGCCCTCCCCTGTGGGCGGGCTCCCCCCGCCCAAGCACCGCACGCAGGAGCCGCTCTGGTCCCAGCGCCACCTCTCCCTCCAGCACGCGGGTGATGGCAGCAGCGCCCTCGGGGCCCTGCCACCGCAGGCGACCCCCACCCACCTTGCAGGTCAGGACACTGAGGAGCTGAGGGTGGCCCCTGCCGTGGTGCCCGCAGGAAAACTAGAGGGATGGCGGGTGCTACCTGGGAAACCCATTATGGAACAGCCTCTTATTGTCTGGGGGGGGGCAAAGTGGGCGTCTTCCTTCCCAGTGACCATTTTCCCTCCTACGGCCTCTGTAACAGGCCCTTCACTTCACCAGTCTGCGGGATCTTCATGGTGACAGTCACCAACATGTGGCCACAAATGTCCAATCTGACTCTTGGACTCGTGCCCTGGGACACACATGTGGGCTCACTCACCCCCTCTGCACCCCAACTCTCACATCTCCCTCCCTGCCTTCCTCCCTCCCTGCCTTCCTCCCTGCCTTCCTTCCTCCCTGCCTTCCTCCCTGCCTTCCTCCCTGCCTTCTAGAACGACACACACAGAGACACCTCAGAAGTGAAGCAGGCTCATGCGCCCTAGGATCTCCCCAGGCATCAGAGCCCTGGGCACGGGGCCAAGCTCACCCCCCAGGAGCCCGGCAGGAGGAGGCGGGTTGAGCTAAGCGGTGAGAGCTGAGGTGAGTTAGCAGAACTTCCTGCGTGTGCCCTGCAGGGTGGGACCTCACTGTGGATTTCAGAAAGTAGCAGGGATGCCCCTCTGTCTGGGGGGCTGAGCCGAAGCCAGCGTAGAGGCCAGAAGGACGGACTAGGGGCCTCTGAGGGCCTCCCGCCCCTGTGGACACAGGGACGCACACGCCTGCCTTTCTGTCCACAGCCGGCATCCACATACTGCTTCCTTACCCGTGTCCTTCTCATCTCAGTACCGGCAGCCGCCAGCCCGTGCTGAGTGTGTGCTGTGGGCTCCACACGCATCACCTCACTTCCCTCTGACAGTGAGGCAGGTGCTAGTATCTCCATTTTATAGGCAAGAAAACTGAGGCACAGAGATGTTAAGTAACTTGACCAAGGTCACACAGCTAGAACTAGGTGGCTCCAGGACTCAAAGTCAGGTGTGCTTGACACTGACCCATGGTGCCAAATGGCCTTGGAGCCTGGGGCTCCCTGCTAGGATTTCCCCGGGACGATATCTTATTACACACTCCGGCAAACCCTAACTGGGTCTACGTGCAGCTGGCCCTAAGTGGCATGCCCTTGTTTATATAGGCTATGCATTCTATTCATGGAACATTGGAATAAAAACTCATCCTGCTCCCCAGTAGGCTGCCAGAGCCCATTTTTCTCTTTTCTTTCCTCCTCCTCCATCGCTGACCCAGATCCCTCATGTCTTAGGGAGTCAGCAAAAAGTACAGGCACAGAACAGAGGGGAAGGGCAGAGCCTGGGGCACAACAAAGGCAGTGGCAAGACCTGGAACCACACACACTCAGACTAACCCCCTCCCTGCAGATGTGACTCCCCCACACCCACCCTCGGCTACTCAGAGACCCCGGAAACAACAAGCCTGTAGCCCCCCTCTGCTTCCCGCTCACCAAGTGGCCATGAAGGACACCCCTGGGCTGTGCGGGCCTGCTCCCTGAACCCCGGCTCCACCATCGAGGAGCAGGAGCTTCGACGAGACCCCGCACAGCCCCTGGTGGGCTGTCTACTCACCCAGGTCCATGTCCGCGGCCTTGGGCCGGTGCGAACACGGCACGTTCTTGAAGATGGCGTCCAGAATCTTCTCCTTGACCTGAGTGATGGTGTCACAGTTGAGGATCTTCACCGGGACCTCGGGGCTGTTGGCGTTGTCGGGGTTGACACAGCTCAGGACCTGGGGGAGGGGAGAGAGGCCGGTTGCAGGGGCAGCGGGGGAGCTGAGGCACCCGCAGCCTTCGGCCCTGTTCTGACCAGCCCCCCTGCAGCTTGGGCTGGGCAGCGGTGGGGAGCGCCCTGCCCATCTGTGACCCCCGAGCCCTCTGCCCCTCTTGTCCCACAGGCACAGGAAGGTGCTGCACACCTGACAAACGTCATTAAAATGCCGGTTTCCCTCAGAGAGGACCCTGTTCAAGTAGGGATGGGAAACCTGTATGAGAACGCATGCTATGCACGCACGCGTGTGCTCTTCGCACGCACACGTGCACAGGCACCAGGCCGCTGGGGTGCACAGCCAGACCCTCGCCCCCTGACACCGCCCCGTCCGCGTGCCCGCCGTCACTCCCTCCCACACACTGATGCGAACCTGGCTCCCTTCTCGCGGGTTCCGTTGGCTTCGGGTATAGGGAGGGTGTGGGGCTGACTGGAGGCTGCGGAGGCTGCAGCTTAATGTGCTTTTTACGAACTTCAGGTTCAGGCCACCGGAGATCCCTTCCTGGCGCTGAGCCTGGAGCCTCGTGTTAGGCAGTGGTTCTCACCCTTGCTAAGGCCGCGGCCCTTTAATAGAGCCCTCATGTTGCGGTGACCCCCAACCATAAAATTATTTTCGTTGCTACTTCGTAACTGGGATTTTGCTACTGTGATGAATCGCCATCGGAAATATGTGTTTTCCGAAGGTCTTAGGTGACCCCCAAAGGGGTCGCGACACAGGTTGAGAGCCGCTGTGCTAGAGAAAGAGGCCCCCCCGGCTCAGGACCTCGATTTCTCTTTCTGGAACTAGTCGGAGAAGGGAAGACTGCTCGGGGCACCAAACTGTAGCTTTTCCTTCAAAAACCCCTGGGCGGTGTCCAAAGGCTTTTCTCCCCTCGCTATCCTCAGAGTGGGCTCTCAGGGACGAGCCCGTGCGGGATCCAGGGGGACCACAGTGGACGTCATGGTGCTGCGGGCACAGGTGCTGTCCAGCGGCCATGCCAGTCGGCACCGGCACCGCCCTCGGACCCTGCTGCCTGAGCCCTCTGTGGGTCCCCGTCCCCGACCTCACCCTGCGCACCCCCAGCCCCACCGTTTCCCAATGGCCCGTCTGGTCTGCAGACTCAGACAGCAGCCTCCTCCGCCCCGCCCCCGTTCCATGTGGGGCATCAGAACCCCGGCCCTGGGCGCCTGCCTTTCATTAGCAACCAGACTGCTATGAGCTCAAATGGGAACATGCTTATTCCATTAAGAAGAAAAAAAACCCTCTTAAATCTATAAAACCAAAACTCTCACTCTCAAAATGTCCTGTCTGAAAACAGTGGTGGAAAGCTGAACCATGTGTGGCTCTGAGAGTCCTCGCCCAGCCCCTCGTCCTTTACCTTCCTCCTGGACCCTCCCTGCCCTGCAAGGACAGCGCAGCCTGCTGTCCTGTCCCCTGGCCCCCTGCTGTCCTGTCCCCTGGCCCCCTGCTGTCCTGTCCCCTGGCCCCTGCTGTCCTGTTCCCCTGGTTCCCTGATGTCCAGTCCCCGGACCCCTGCTGTCCTGTTCCCCTGGCTCCCTGCTGTCCTGTCTCCTGGCCCCCTGCTGTCCTGTTCCCCTGGCCCCCTGCTGTCCTGTCTCCTGGCCCCCTGCTGTCCTGTTCCCCTGGTTCCCTGATGTCCAGTCCCCGGACCCCTGCTGTCCTGTTCCCCTGGCTCCCTGCTGTCCTGTCCTCTGGTTCCCTGCTGTCCTGTCCACGGACCCCTGCTGTCCTGTCCCCTGGCTCCCTGCTGTCCTGTCCCCTGGTTCCCTGCTGTCCTGTCCACGGACCCCTGCTGTCCTGTTCCCCTGGCCCCTGCTGTCCTGTCTCCTGGCCCCCTGCTGTCCTGTCCCCTGGTTCCCTGCTGTCCTGTCCACGGACCCCTGCTGTACTGTCTCCTGGCCCCCTGCTGTCCTGTTCCCCTGGCTCCCTGCTGTCCTGTCCACGGACCCCTGCTGTCCTGTCCCCTGGCTCCCTGCTGTCCTGTCCCCTGGTTCCCTGCTGTCCTGTCCACGGACCCCTGCTGTCCTGTCCCCTGGCTCCCTGCTGTCCTGTCTCCTGGCTCCCTGCTGTCCTGTCCCCTGGTTCCCTGCTGTCCGGTCCCCGGGCCCCTGCTGTACTGTCTCCTGGCCCCCTGCTGTCCTGTTCCCCTGGTTCCTGCTGTCCTGTCCCCTGGTTCCTGCTGTCCTGTCCCCGGGCCCCTGCTGTCCTGTCCCCTGGCCCCCTGCTGTCCTGTTCCCCTGGCCCCCTGCTGTCCTGTTCCCCCTGGCCCCTGCTGTCCTGTTCCCCTGGTTCCCTGCTGTCCTGTCCCCTGGTTCCCTGCTGTCCTGTTCCCCTGGTTCCCTGCTGTCCTGTTCCCCTGGTTCCCTGCTGTCCTGTCCCCTGGTTCCCTGCTGTCCTGTCCCCTGGTTCCCTGCTGTCCTGTCCCCTGCGGTCCTGTTCCCCTGGCCCCCTGCTGTCCTGTTCCCCTGGCCCCCTGCTGTCCTGTCCCCTGGCCCCCTGCTGTCCTGTCCCCTGGTTCCCTGCTGTCCTGTCCCCTGGTTCCCTGCTGTCCTGTCCCCTGGCCCCCTGCTGTCCTGTTCCCCTGGCCCCCTGCTGTCCTGTTCCCCTGGTTCCCTGCTGTCCTGTCCACGGACCCCTGCTGTCCTAACCCCTGGCTCCCTGCTGTCCTGTCCCCTGGTTCCCTGCTGTCCTGTCCACGGACCCCTGCTGTCCTGTCCCCTGGCTCCCTGCTGTCCTGTCCCCTGGTTCCCTGCTGTCCTGTCCACGGACCCCTGCTGTCCTGTCCCCTGGCTCCCTGCTGTCCTGTCTCCTGGCTCCCTGCTGTCCTGTCCCCTGGTTCCCTGCTGTCCGGTCCCCGGGCCCCTGCTGTACTGTCTCCTGGCCCCCTGCTGTCCTGTTCCCCTGGTTCCTGCTGTCCTGTCCCCTGGTTCCTGCTGTCCTGTCCCCTGGCCCCCTGCTGTCCTGTCCCCTGGCCCCCTGCTGTCCTGTCCCCTGGCCCCCTGCTGTCCTGTTCCCCCTGGCCCCTGCTGTCCTGTTCCCCTGGTTCCCTGCTGTCCTGTCCCCTGGTTCCCTGCTGTCCTGTTCCCCTGGTTCCCTGCTGTCCTGTCCCCTGGTTCCCTGCTGTCCTGTCCCCTGGTTCCCTGCTGTCCTGTTCCCCTGGTTCCCTGCTGTCCTGTTCCCCTGGTTCCCTGCTGTCCTGTCCCCTGGTTCCCTGCTGTCCTGTCCCCTGTCCCCCTGCTGTCCTGTCCCCTGGTTCCCTGCTGTCCTGTTCCCCTGGTTCCCTGCTGTCCTGTTCCCCTGGTTCCCTGCTGTCCTGTCCCCTGGTTCCCTGCTGTCCTGTCCCCTGGTTCCCTGCTGTCCTGTCCCCTGGCCCCTGCGGTCCTGTTCCCCTGGCCCCCTGCTGTCCTGTTCCCCCTGGCCCCTGCTGTCCTGTTCCCCTGGTTCCCTGCTGTCCTGTCCCCTGGTTCCCTGCTGTCCTGTTCCCCTGGTTCCCTGCTGTCCTGTTCCCCTGGTTCCCTGCTGTCCTGTCCCCTGGTTCCCTGCTGTCCTGTTCCCCTGGTTCCCTGCTGTCCTGTCCCCTGGCCCCTGCGGTCCTGTTCCCCTGGCCCCCTGCTGTCCTGTTCCCCCTGGCCCCTGCTGTCCTGTTCCCCTGGTTCCCTGCTGTCCTGTCCCCTGGTTCCCTGCTGTCCTGTTCCCCTGGTTCCCTGCTGTCCTGTCCCCTGGCCCCTGCTGTCCTGTTCCCCTGGTTCCCTGCTGTCCTGTTCCCCCTGGCCCCCTGCTGTCCTGTTCCCCCTGGCCCCTGCTGTCCTGTTCCCCTGGTTCCCTGCTGTCCTGTCCCCTGGCCCCCTGCTGTCCTGTCCACGGACCCCTGCTGTCCTGTCCCCTGGCTCCCTGCTGTCCTGTCCCCTGGTTCCCTGCTGTCCTGTCCCCTGGCTCCCTGCTATCCTGTCCCCTGGCCCCCTGCTGTCCTGTTCCCCTGGCCCCTGCTGTCCTGTTCCCCTGGTTCCCTGCTGTCCTGTCCCCTGGTTCCCTGCTGTCCTGTCCCCTGGTTCCCTGCTGTCCTGTCCCCTGGCCCCTGCTGTCCTGTTCCCCTGGTTCCCTGCTGTCCTGTCCCCTGGTTCCCTGCTGTCCTGTTCCCCTGGTTCCCTGCTGTCCTGTCCCCTGGTTCCCTGCTGTCCTGTCCCCTGGTTCCCTGCTGTCCTGTCCCCTGGCCCCCTGCTGTCCTGTCCCCTGGTTCCCTGCTGTCCTGTCCCCTGGCCCCTGCTGTCCTGTTCCCCTGGTTCCCTGCTGTCCTGTCCCCTGGTTCCCTGCTGTCCTGTCCCCTTATTCCCTGCTGTCCTGTCCCCTGGTTCCCTGCTGTCCTGTCCCCTGGCCCCCTGCTGTCCTGTCCCCTGGCCCCCTGCTGTCCTGTCCCCTGGCCCCTGCTGTCCTGTCCCCTGGTTCCCTGCTGTCCTGTCCCCTGGTTCCCTGCTGTCCTGTCCCCTGGCCCCCTGCTGTCCTGTTCCCCTGGCCCCCTGCTGTCCTGTCCCCTGGCCCCCTGCTGTCCTGTTCCCCTGGTTCCCTGCTGTCCTGTCCCCTGGTTCCCTGCTGTCCTGTTCCCCTGGTTCCCTGCTGTCCTGTTCCCCTGGTTCCCTGCTGTCCTGTCCCCTGGCCCCTGCTGTCCTGTTCCCCTGGTTCCCTGCTGTCCTGTCCCCTGGTTCCCTGCTGTCCTGTCCCCTGGTTCCCTGCTGTCCTGTTCCCCTGGTTCCCTGCTGTCCTGTTCCCCTGGTTCCCTGCTGTCCTGTCCCCTGGCCCCCTGCTGTCCTGTCCCCTGGCCCCCTGCTGTCCTGTTCCCCTGGTTCCCTGCTGTCCTGTTCCCCTGGTTCCCTGCTGTCCTGTCCCCTGGCCCCCTGCTGTCCTGTCCCCTGGCCCCTGCTGTCCTGTTCCCCTGGTTCCCTGCTGTCCTGTCCCCTGGTTCCCTGCTG